GCTTCTTGGCGAGCTTCTGATTTGAATTTGTAGATGAACAACTTCATCGTATCGTACACGGTGCCGATCATGCTGGAGAACATCACATGGAAGACCTACATCGTGTTCATCTGCACATTGGTCCTCGGCGGACTATGGGTCATCTTCCTGCTGCCTGAGACGCGCGGAAAGAGTCTGGAAGAGTAAGTTGTTTGTTTCACTATCTAGCTGATTGATATATTGATATCATGTTATGCAGAATGGACATTGTCTTCCATTCTCGCACTGGACACGCTGATGTCGAGCGGATGGCTCGCATAGCTCGTGAACTCGGGATGCACGATCATTCCGAGGATGATGCACTGGAGAAAGCTTGAAGCATACATACGTACTCATGTACTGGCTCGTATGCTCTCGGCGGAGGGGAGCCTGAACGCCAAAAAGTACCTCGGTACGACATGTGAACCCACGTGACCGCGTTGTGGCCACAGTTCGCCCGTACTTCGTTGTGTTCCTGCCTGCGCGCCTCCAGTTGCTCCCATCCGGAGGCACAGCGCGTCTCAACGCGTCATGTATCCTCCGTCAAAGAAAATATTTCGTCGCGATGACGGAGACCCAGAACGCGATTTGGCGAGGCGCTAGCGAAGCCGTACACATGCGCCACGCCGATGACGTCGTTGATGAAACCGCGCGCTGAATATTAAAGGTGACCCCGCATGACCTGCAACTTCACACCGACCTCTTCTCTATCACCCACCACCACCACCATCTCAACGTTATACACCATGACTCCCGCACGCACCGCTGCCGCACGTACTCTCCGCGTCTCGCGCGTGGCCCCCGCGCCGCGTGCTCTCCATGCATCTGCCCGCCGCCGCGCCGTCGAGGACTCGCCCCTCTCGCACAACACCGCACCCAAGCGTTCTCCGTGGCCCATCATCATCGGTCTTACGACTGTTACCGGCGGAGCTTACGCATACTATGCTTCGCTAGAAGATGATCGCTTGTCGAAGGAGAAGCGCGCGCTCGAGAGCAAGACTGCGCACGTTGGTCCCATGGCTGAAGACGTCAAGCTCCGTGTACAGGAGGCTGCCGCTGATGCCAAGTCGCGCACCGTCTCTGGCGCACGCGACGTTCGTGACAGCGCTCAGGCTAAGCTCGACTCCGCGAGGGATGGCGCCAACCGCACATACGAGGATGCCAAGGCCAAAGTTAACGGCGCTGCCTCATCTGCGTCTTCCTCTTCGCAGTCTGTAGCTGATGACGCCAAGGCGGCAACAAGTACGCGTTTCTCAATCTCTTGCCTTCATCGTCATCTGACAGTTTTTACAGAGCAGAACGCTGATGCAGCAAAGTCGAGCTGGTTTAGCTGGCTCGGTTGGGGCAAGGCTAAGACTGCCGAAGCTGTCGACCAGGCATCTCATGTGGCGGACGATCTGAAGCGCAAGGCGAATGAGACTGAGGAGCAGTTCAAGCGCCGCTGGGAGGACGCCAAGTCCTTGGCAAAGGCCAAGGGCGAGGAGATCTCGCAGAAGGCGGGCGAGACGGAGGAGGAGTACCGCATCCGGATCGCGCGCGCTCTTGCACGCAAGGACAAGCAGTAGGCGACGTCTAGGACATTGGGTTTGAATCGCTTGCTGTTTTATGGTCCTATTGTACTTTTACTTTCATGAGTTCACCCTGTTGTGCATGAATTATATTGTCAGATATTGAATTGTCTCGTGTTATATACACTCCAGCCAAGACTCCTTCGTGTCTGTACAAAGAATCACGCAAATCGCAGTGCCTGACAGTAGTACCTGTGCTCGAACACGAGCTGAAAGTGGAAACTATGAATGATGCCTGAGGCCTGAGGTTATATCTACTGCTTACAGGGGTTCATTTCTCTCATCCACGATCGCCACTCCGACGTCGATGAGCTCCTGCTTCAGGTTCTCATGCGCAGTGAGCTCCGAGCGTATACGTTCGGCTAGAGCGCTCTGCACAAACTGCACGCGTTCGAGCTGGGAGCCATGTTCGCCCTTCGCGTGTTTGATTCCCAGAAGAAGCGTGTTCAAGCGCTCCCAGGAGGCCACCTCGGCGGGATGCGGGTTCGTCTCCAACGACAAGTCATGGTTGACGACGAGGACAAGGGTGCGCACGGAAGCAGGAACAAAGTTCGTCACGCAGGTTGTCAACCGCGAAAGCGGGGCGTTCAAGCGAAGGTATCGTATCTCAGACACCCATGCCCGCGCCCATCCTTGAAGTGTCCCAGAGACCAGGAACATGCAGTCAAGGGAAAGGTGGGTAATAGGCATTGGAGCGCTGCCCAAGGACATGGACCGCATTATTCCTGGGTAACTCGGCACGGCTCCTAGACCGTTCTCGATAACATAGTGGAAATGCGTGCATGTCATATCACCATTATTGTAGTACACATGTGGCGAGTCGATGACGACGTGGCTGAGAGGGTGCGTCGAGGTTGGCTGCAGTACAGTCACATATGTGTCTCTGACTCCAAGTATCACATTGATTTCTAGATCATGAAAACGACGATGGAAGCTTAAGACCTGCAGTGCAGTACAGCCTTCGATTAACTGCTGTCTTTCGCCCAGGATGTGATCTGCGAAGAGAAAGCTGGCCCCTTCCAGAAATCGAACGCGAAGTAGCTCAGAGCTTCTGAGTCGAAAGCTCTCAGAAAAGCGCGATATCGATGCGTCCAATGCGCCGACGTCCATACGGCTCCAGTCTACCCCTGGATCCATCACCGTCCCAAAAGAGAGAACGGTAATGCCTCGAACAAGGCGCAGGATTCCAGCGAAGTCGTTTAAGGCTTCGCCCGCACCAGGTGAAAGGCGAAGGATGAATGAGACATGTTGTGTGGACGGCGTTCGTGCCGCAGAGGAAACACGTTCAAGGCGCAGACGAAGTCGACGCGCGTTCTCGTTTGTTACAACGAGACACTCCTGGAGAGCTAGGTAGGCGCCATCAAGGAATGCATGTAGCTGTCTGTTTACGCCAGCTAGTTCGGGGCGAATGAGCTGCCCCTCGAAATCGGGGCAAGAGGTATTGGATAGGACATATGGATCGAAGGTGTCCTCATCCTCTTTAGGCGCTACGCTCGTGATCGTGCCGCGGCGTACTGGGGGCACATGCTCGTCGACGATTTTGGCCCATATTTCGATCGGGAGCCAACCACGTCTTTCAGCCTCATCATCTCTCCTCATAGTCGACAGCTTTAGCAAGTTCGGAGATCGGTAGTAGGGACGAGCGTCTGGTGAGATGGTGGTGGTTATGGCCCAGGTTGCGTTGTAGTGATCATCTCCCGCGCCGCAGTGCCGCATACGGCGGCCAGACTCCGATGCTTGTTATCATGATTATCAATCCCTGGCGCCTACTTGTGAGATAGTCAATCAGCGCAGAGATGCCAATGCCAAGGTTAAAGTAGACGGGTTGATTGTCCTGTACGTGAAACAGGAATATGGGGCAAGCACCAGGCAAAGAGAATAATAGATCGAGGTATACGTCATTTGCCTCCTTACATGTGGGTACTGGTACCTTCATTCATTAGATCTTCAATGGCACCCCTGTCTCCTTCAATATATCAAGCCGCATAGCGACTATCTCCCTCTTCACTTCGTCTCGATGAGCGATCTCGTTTTCGAAACGTCGAGCCAACGCAGGTTGCATGAACTGAACACGCCTGAGCGCGCTCCTGCGCTGCGGTCCAGATAAATGCCGCATAGCGAGCAGGAGGTTGTACAAGCGCTCCCATGGGAGCGTCTCGGGTGGAGGCAGCCGCGGGTTCCAGGATACGCTGTTGTCCACGACGAGAACCAGCGTCCGTACTGTTGGTGGGATGAAGGGCACGGAGGCTGTAAGCTGCGAGAGCGGCGCGCTCAGACGGAGATGGTGCAGTTGAGGCGCGTGCTTAGCGAATGTGGCAAAGTCCTTATCGATGCCCTGTGGCCGGGTAGACATGACCAGCGAGAGATGTGTGAAGGGGCTGTCAGTCGAGTCCCTATTGTGAGCCAGACCGTAGCTGTAAACTGGGTCTCCATCTCGAACGTAGTGAAGACGCAAGGTATCAGAGATTTGGGTACGGTCAAAGCACTTGACATGTGGCGAGTCGATAGCCACATGTACGAGGGTGTGTTCGACAAGGGCACGGTTGAAGTGAAGGCCACTGTTGAATCTTTTGATCTGATCTTCGAATGCTACAGATAGACATTGCCGGTGGAAGCTAATGCTCCTCAACTGAGTACACCGGTTTAATATGCTACGCAGCTCATTAGCTCGTATGCCGCAAAGAAGGCTGGCGCCGTCCAAGAAGGCAATACGAAGCAGGTTAGAAGATATCGATTGGATGGCTTGGGTAAATTGCAAGATGTGCGGCGCGTTTTTTGAAGAATAGAACTCAAGTTCTGGAGACGTCGTTGTACCGAACGAGAGTATATCGACGTCTCGAGCAAGGTGCAGGATAGCAGTCATGTTCTCCAGCGTCACGGACCAACCGGGCATCATATTAACCACGAGCGCTACATGAGATATGGACGTATGCCCGCCAGAAGAATGAGTGTCTTCCATGCGCCGACGAACTCGTTCCGCATTGTTGTTCGTGACCAGCAAGCAACCACGCGGCGGTGCGTATCCATGTAGGAGGGTACGCAGTTGCCTGTTAACGCCTGCAAGCGCAGGGCGTATGGAGAGACAGCCTTCAAGATCGGCGCAGGAGACACCCGAGAAGACATACGGGTCGAAGGAGTCATCCGTTTCATCGGGCACGACGTCCATCAAGCCGCTCAGCGGCGGCGCGTAATCGTCTACGATCTTTGCCCAGAGCTCTACGGGTAGCCATCCCTTCCTAACAGCCTGGGATTGCATTGAGAAATGAGGTGATGAAGTCAGGATACGAGCGCCCGATAGGTGAGTCTTGATGATGGTGGTCACAGTATAAAACTGGAGAGGATCGCGGCTGCAGTGATTAGAACGTGATAAGAAGGTCGTTGCATAATATATTTATGGAGGTCGAACATGTCACCGCCGTCGTGGCGCAATGGTAGCGCATCGCCTTCCTAAGGCGGGGGTTGCGGGTTCGAGCCCCGTCGTCGGTAATGGCGGACTACATCCAAGCATTTTTTATTCCCTAAGCGCGTAACGACTACCTCCTATATATCTCCAGACACAGCCATCACATCGGGGCTTAGTACACAGCTCCCACATTGGTGGTCAAGCGAAAATGTCGTCAAAGACAGATAATATATTATGCCTATAGCGCGTTTCGCATCGTTACAACCAAGACATATACGGCTACATCCAAGCCAGCCACATAAATAGATCATGCAATATTGAGTTGACAATGCACACCACAGAACAAACACACGATTTCCCCGACCCTACAGCTCTCCCCGAGGGATCGGCAAATCCGGGCGTTTCCCATACACCTCGCTCGCAGGCGGCACGCCCTCGCTTTGCATTTGCGCGGCAACCTTCTCAGCGCCTTCAAGCACGCGCAACAAATTCCCGCCCGTCAAACCCGCAAGATCGCGCGCACCCCATCCACGCGAGAACAGCTCAGCGATGAGGGCGGGGTACTTGCTCACATCCTCGAGTCCGTGAGGAACTGAGCCAATACCATCGTAGTCAGAGCCGAGTCCAACATGCGCGGCACCGATGGTCTTGGCGAAGTGGTCGACATGGTCTGCTACGGTTTTTACGTCCGCTTCTTCGGGCACGTCCGCGATGAAGTTGGGGAAGAAATTGACCATCACTACGCCGTCAACTTTGCCTGCGCCTGTGCCGATGTGCGAGATGACGTTGTCGGGAACGTTACGCGGGATGTTGTGCAGCGTGCGAGAGGATGAGTGGGACCAGATGACCGGCGCGCGGGTGATGTTGAGCGCGTCGAGGGCGGTTGCGTCTGAGACGTGCGAGAGGTCGACGAGCATACCGATGCGGTTCATCTCGCGCACAAGCGCGCGTCCGAGAAAGCTATGTGAAAAAAAAAGTCAGGCGAAGACTCCGTGCATCTCGAGTGCAAGGACGGACCTCAAACCCTGCGACTCGACAATGGAGTCGGGAGAGGCGTGCGCAATCAAGCCCGAGCTCGTCGCGAACGCGTTGTTGCAAGTGTGCGTAAGAGTAAGGTAACGCGCGCCGAGCTGGTAGTAGGTCCTGACAGTCGAGAGCGTGTTACCGAGGTGGTGGCCGCTGCATCGCGAGGGTCGAGTCAGATCTCTTAAACGAATAAGACACGATTGAGAACTTGAACGCACCCCTCGAGACCAATGATACCGGCAATCTTGCCTGCCGCAATGGCAGACTTGATGTCAGAGGCCGTGCGAGCCAACGAGAACGTCTGTTCAATTCATTCAGTCGGAAGCGGGAGATGCAAGGAAGAAGCAATCACGTCAGAGTACTTCTCTATGAGCAAGTGCGAGATATCAATCTGCTCGAGCGTGTCCCTAGCCGAGGAGAATCAGCCACGAAGATACGCTTTCGAAAAGGTTTTGCTCGTACCGGACTCGCCAGGTAGCCGTGGTGAAATCCGAACCGTCATCCAGACCTTCATCCGCGGGGCACGGTACATACACCGACCTGGTAGTTTAACTGAGTAAGCGAGAGATGAGAGTAGCCATTGAGCATGATGCGTACCAGAAGAAGGCGCCAACCTTGCCCTTGCGCAGGCGAGGGATATCGACGTGGCCAGTGATGTTGTAGAGGTCGATCGATGAGACGTTGTTCGTGTCCGTGTAGCGCACGAGCCAGGGCAGATCTTCAACCGTAGTCAGCAAGAGAAGAGCATAGTAGAGCCACCATAGTATCATACCAACATGTCCATCCTACGCTTTCTATCAGCAACGAGTCAAACAAGACGCTCAGGTTCAACGCACGATAACGGGAGCATGGTCAAGCAAGATCTCGGCAGCCTTGGTGGGGTCCTTCGGCAGACGGTCTGTCCACCGACCAGGCGCATGTCCACCGCGTTCTCCGCGCTCATGGACACCCTCGACAAAGAAGAGCATTATGAACAGCGCAATGACGAACAGCAGGATAAGTCCTGCGCGCACGGCGATGCGCACGGTGCGGGCACGGTCATTGCGCGGGCGCGCAGTGCCGTTGATCAACGGCGAGGACTCTGTCGGCAACGTCTCTACTGGCGGGTTCTCCATCACGAGCTCGTCGTCGTCGTTCGAGACGAAGGCGCAATATATTGAGTCAGCCTCTCAGGCCCTCCAGGGCCGTGTGGCGAGGACCATCGCAGCCGCCGGCAATCATACTTCGGACCCGCGGTCCGGGGCCGAAAGTACAGCGCTCGGGTCCGCCGAGATGAAGCTTTCCTGCATCTCTGACTGCAACTAGCAACTGGCTCACCATGCTGGGTGTAGAGTCCACACCTGCGCCAGTGCCATCGCCGCAACCACTGCCGCGGGATGGTCATTTGAATGCGGCCGAGAAGGCTGAGGCGGAGCGCACTCGCGTATTTCTCGTAGGCGTAGGGTACGATCTCTTCGTCGTGTGCACTGAGCACAGGCGCTGAGGTACCGACCTAGAGGCGCAACTTGCTCCGGAAAGACGACTCTGGCAAAGCACTTGAGAAATGTACTCCCCAATAGCTTCATCATTCACCAAGACGTGCGCGATCCCCTTCTGTCCAGCGTCTAGATAACTCATGATCATGCAGGACTTCGCGCCGGTGCGTGTATATCTATGATCTAGAAAGCTAATCTCAACGGCTGAAAGTACTTCTCAGCCGCAAGACACGCTGCCCGTGCATCCTGAACTCGGTGCAGATTGGGACTCTGCCCCGACAGCAATAGACTGGCCCCGTCTGCGCGCCTTCCTGCACATCGTGAAAGACTCGGCCACCATTCCAGCCGACCACTCGTCGCACGATCACCTCAATAACCAAGTACCTGTGCCAGTAACGGACAATACCTACGACCGCGTCAAGGCACGCATTGTGCAGAAGCAACGCGAGATCGAAGAGCGTGAGGGCGTGCGCGTTGTATGGGGTCTCGTCGATGGCTTCCTGCTCTACTGGGACAAGGCTTGTGCAAATATCTTCTTGCTCGATCTGCTCAAGGGATAACCTAAAAACCGTAGGAGGTAGTCGACACACTCGACGTAAAGATCTTTCTCCGAGTCCCGCAGGAAACGCTTAAGCAGCGCCGCGAGGAACGCTCGGGCTACGCTACAGCAGGTATGCCCCATGCCCGTACACCCCGCTCGTAACCCTCATCTTCCTCTCTACATCTGTCTGCCTACTCTCACACTCGCCATATTCGCACCCTGCCGCGTAATGACGAATTGAACTGCTTACTCACGGAGAACAATTAACGGCTGAAGAGGGCACCTTCTGGAAGGACCCTCCAGGATATTGGTTCGTCTCATTCCCTCGGTGACCGATATAGTCTGTTGTCTAACACAAACCTGTTTTTCAGGGACAGACTTGTGTACCCGGCCTACGTCGATGCGCACAAGCATATCTTTGAGGTATGTTCGCGTCAAGTCTGCGCCATATCTGGCATGCTGACGCCATATAGAACGGCGACCTGGACAATGGCGCGCCCGTGCTGCCGGGGATTACGGTGCTTGAGCCTCTTCAACTCTCGATGGACGCCGTCGTCGAACATACCTGTGCTGTCATTGAAGACGCATTGGAGCACCGGAAGTGGTAGTAGCATTACTACCTTTGAGATCGGCTGGATGATTCCATTCGGGATATAGAGGAACGCACGCGGTGTAAGAGGGAAGAGGCGTATAGATACTACCATAGACGCACAGGTCAAGGTCAAGGTGTACTTCACTGGTTTGTATACGACCAGGACAATAGACGCGCTCCGGTGCGACATCACTGACTTCGAGCGCATGCTGCGCACTCATGGGTTCATGACGGGCCTGGTTTGCCTACAATTTACAGTGAGGAAGCTTGAACTTTCCGTCAATGTGGTGCGCGCTGCTGATAAGATTTGTCGCGAATGGTCTGAGTCTACGATACTGGTTTCTGTATTTCTTTCTGTTCTGTCTGCCTTTACTGAGTCTTCGGTGTCGCCGTTTTCAATCGCGGGGCTGAAACCCTCGGTGAAAGCTGCTGTCTTGCTGCCACTGATCTTCCTTGCTTTCCATCGTAACAACTCCGAGATCGCTGTCGATTACGAACTAGGTCGCCCGCTTGTCGCTCAATTTGAGCGCAACAGCGTGATATTATAACGCTCGAGTACGTGAAAGACAGAAGAGCAGACCAGGACGTAACCTGACCTGGGCCTAAGTGACTGGCAACCTACTGCCTAGTCAGATACAGAAATGCATGAACCTAATGGGAGTCAAGGAATGAATGAACTAAGTGTCGTAGGTGATGGTAGCAAGCAGACGGAAGTAAGGGAATCCTGATCCAGAGTCTGCTACTGCATACTCCTGCTGAATTGTGATGCTCGCTCGGTCCCCTAAGCCCGAGCGTACAGCTTTAGCGAGAGTCCGCCTGAGCGGCTCGATCCAATCATCTGCATCTTCAAGTAGCGCTAACGCGCCATCCACGAACAACTCGAACTCGAGAGACGTCATCGGCAACACGCCCATGACAGGTGCCGCCCGAACGCGCAAGAGCGACGCAAGAGCCGGGTATATCTCCATGAACGTATGCGCCATATGCAGTGGCCCGTTGAAGCTGAGGCAGCTGAGCTGCGGGAGGTGAAGGCAGTTCTCGTCCGTGACCAACGACGAGATGATGTGGTAGATGGTATCGTTATCCCTGAATGGCAGCACAATCTTTCTAACGGCTGGAAAAGACGGGAGCGACAGGCCCCAAACGGGCTCCTGTGTAGTAGCGGGAGAGATGAATCCGTCCTCGCGGTCGAACGTGTGCTCGCGCGTCTCATTATCGAAAGCGAGAGTGTCTATCGTGTCTGTTCCCGGAATTGAATGAACAACTCTGGTGTATTCCGAAAACAATAGTGAAAGCGCTCGAGTGCCAGTCTCCCGATGAATCCCAAACGCGAAAGATACAAAAGGTCCCGGCTCCTCAAGTGTAAAGGAGCTCCAGTCAAGCGGAAGAGAAGGAGAGGGCGGGTAGCCCAAGGGTTCTCCACCGAGACGTACGAAGAGCGCCGAAGGA